TGACATTGACAGACATCATCAGAGTAAGATTCCATACTTTACGAAATAGAGCATAAATATACTAAACCAAAAGAATAAGGTGACCAGCTGCAACACTAGTCGTTTTTATACACTTAATATCGCTATCATAAGGAGGCCTTCCTGGTTTGGTTGGCTGCCTCAGCCTTATTCTACATAAAGATATGAAGAGCAAAATGCTGTGGTCTCTGCTATGGCCGCAGTCTCTTTTCGATTTATAGAAGTGGGTTGACCTCGCTGTCGCAACTTAGTTTTGTTGTCAGAGACTTAGTAGTAATTGTCATGATTCCCAGCATCAGACAGTGGACTTGGTGCATTCACAAACGTTTCACCGGCATCATAGTCGACATCATCAGTCGCACCAAGCTAAGAACTCGTCAAAGAGACAAGTGAAGTCAATCCATCGACAAGCGTTTTGCCGAAAACGGTTAAACTAACACTCTTCTATCTGTCCTAGCTTATCTATCTACTCTTTCCCTCTTATCCAACTCCCGCCCTATCACTTCTCCACTGATCAAAATGTGTCCCTTTGTGGCAAATCTAGTGTTACCTCATCACACTCTTGTTTCTTTTACGAGTTTGTAGCTTGGTGCGAAAAATGGTAAAACTCATTGATGATGCCAACTATGATGCCGGCGAAACATTTGAGAATGTACCAAATCTAGTGTCTGATGCTGGGAATTAGGACAACTACTATGTCAGACGACTTCGGACTAGATGCGTTCTACTAAGCCACCCTGACAACAAGACAAAGTTGAGACGAGGTTAACCCACTTCTTATTCTATATGCTTGCAAATGAGTGAAGTTAACTTCCAGAACCGGTAATGCGTTCGGTACCAGCTGTTTCATCCCACAAAAACTAGCGTACGATCGCCTAATGCTGAATCGTCTAATGAATGGAAGTGTAAGAATAGCCGTTGCCGAAAAATGGTAAATCTATCCAAAACTTGATTGGACACTTCTACCGAGGAGGTCTAAGCAAACGGATTAAACTTTGTCTTTCCAAATGGTAAGGACTTAAAATAAAATTTTGGTAG